AACGAAACAATTGAACAGTAACAAGTATTTGCGATTTAACAAAAGGATTAATTGGGCGTAAATGAACAGATAACGAATCGTGCAAATAAAATTTGTTTTTGCAAACTGATTTTCCGCATTTGGTGTTTCATATAATGTCAATGTATTAGTACGTTCGTGAATGAAATTAATGCATAAGATGTGTTAAATAAAAGTTTACAAACAAGTTACTAATTAGTGCAGCAAATCTTCGTTAAAAATTCAAATTTACATTAAACAAAGATATTACTTAGTGACAGTCTCGGTCCTTGTGAAAGAGTTCGTCCAGGGAAGTACTGCCTTGCTATTTCTGCCGCCAAGCAGTTATGTGTTCATTACTGCGTTCCGGTTTGCTGGTGCCAAATTATCTCTCTGGGTGATAGGCGCAGTAGCAGTGCCCCTCAGATCTTTGCGATTCAAAGCTCTGAGTGGCACATACGATAACAACAACATTACAATCAACCAAACACACTAGTGGAACAACCGAACGAAATTAGTGAAATGATTTAAAAAAAAATATTACATCATATCATCAACCCATTTATACGACCCATTGCTGAGCACAGGTCTCCTCTTAGGAGCGGGTTTAGCCATAGTCCAAAAAACTGGCCCAATACTGGTTGTGAACCTTCTTACACTTCCTCTAAAGACTCAATGTAAATTTCAAATCAAATTTCGTATACAATAAATTCCGAGAGAAATTCTGAGGTGCGACCCCGTATTCGAACCCTCTGTTTGAGAGGCGGTAGATCAAACCTGGGTAACCACGGCTTACAAAAAATTAAATAAATATTACCATGATATTATTATTCAATAAAAGTCAATATGAAGCTTATTGTTTTTAATAGTGTTTTAGATTCTTGCCTCTTCCAAGGCTTAAAGATAAATTAAAAGAAATTTAGAATTTTAAATTGGTAGAGTCAATATTCTCCGGCTAAAGGCATTTTTATTATTACAAATGCCAAAGATTTGGATGGATGTTTTGTATTCCCTAGATTGCTATACATTTTCGAGAGAATCCGGGGTACCCTGGGATGCCTAAGAGATTACTAATTCTGCATAAAGCGTTCCTATTATTATTGATACATATTAGCCACGTCCAATCGGATGGAAGGAATTCTTCTTTGTGTTTTTCGATTTTTGTATCAACAATAATGATAAATTAGTGGAGTATTTTTACAAAAAAATAGATGAATATCAGGGTAGTAAAAACTTCATGACATTGAATCAAAATAAAATATAAGGCTTTCCTGTTTAACCCAGCTGTTATTCTTGATGTAAAATCAAACTTATGACCTCTTACACAGAAGGCGATCTTGGCGAGTTCGATTTCCACCAAAGGACTTGCAACATCGTAATTGCCCAAACATGTTTAGTAGCAGTAGAACTCCTTGTGAAAGAGGTCGTCCAGGGAAGTATTGCCACCTTACCTGTTTATGCCGCCAAGCAGTAATGTCAGCATTACTATGTTCCCGTTTTGAAGGGTAAGGGTGCTGGTGAAATTATAGGCACGTGGGACTTGTCAACTTATGTCTCAGGGTGTTGGGTGCAGTGCTCGTTTTTAAATTTTGAATCGTTCTTTAATAATTCCTTTGCCTGGCCATTCTGATTTTGTTTCGTTCCATCGTAACTCCTTGCCCGATCGCGGCAGCGAACACGTCTTCTCGTTAATTTTTTGAACCGTTTTCCAGTTACCAAAAATCTCTTGTGCGATAAACATTTTAAATATCACAAATATTAATATAACGGGAATAATATTTATAAAACTGGATTTATTACCACTATTTCTTTACCCTTTTGAATTTTGAACTAAATTTACTAAGCAACGTGTATGGAGGTTGCGAAGGCTGCGGAGGCTACTACAGGAAAGTTGTAGTAGTGGAATATTCAGTAGGATTGTAATGTAGCCTCCTGGTTACATTACAATCCTACTGAATATTCCAAGCGGTACCAGCAGCGGTACGCGCGTTTCGGAGTGGTACGGCAACTGTTATGGACAGGCGTGTCGCTTACCATCAGACGCACAAACGTTGTTCGTCCAGCCACTTAGTTATTATAAAAAATATATCTTTTGGAGTTTTCTTTTTAAAAGTGATAATTTTTACCATTCATACAATTTTAATAATTTCTTCATTCACCGAACGTAGCTGTGTTACGAGAATGATATTTTATTCATAACTTTGAACGCAAATATATGTGTGGCGTATACTTGTCGTACCTATATAGATCGGGGACAGATGTATGCTGAATGCTCGAAAAGGGGAATAATAAAACTTTATCCTTCGCATGAATAGTAATCGGTTTCGTATTTGAATTTTCAACCACCACGTTCAAGTCGAAATTTTTTTTTTCATATTCCGAAATTTTTACTTATAGCGCCTTTATATCCCATTTAGTAACGATTACTACCTACAGGCGGCGTTCGTTATAGAAGCAACTTGTTAACAAAATTTGTATAACACTGTTGAGGTGTTATGAAATTGACATAACACCTCAGCAGTCTATATAAATACTCGGAACTGCACCTGCTGCGCTCACGACCCGACACGCGCCCGACCCGCTGCGCACCCGCTCTCTCTGTGTTTCACTTTTTATAGCCGTGTTGTCACTGTATGTGATTTTATTTGCCAATCTCGGTGACCTAACAGTGTATACTGTGAGCGCTGGATAAGGAGATCCCGGGTTCGATTTCCTGTAGAACTAAATTGGGAAATGAACTTTCAATTTTTTTTAAATAACGCACACTCTCAACATAACCCCGCACTTGGGAAACCCTGTGTCGCGGGTGCCATGCACACATACATAGACAACCACAAATTACACCCAAACTCACGAGACAAATAAATGTAGGCCATACAAATATATCTCCCGGCTCGGGAATCGAACCTGGGACCTCTGCGTGGCAGTCTGGCATGGTAACCGTTCGGCCACGGAGGCAGTTAGTTAATTGATGATGGTTTGGGTGATCTGGGAAGTGCCCGGAGTGAATTCCGTTGCTCTGGTACTTGATAGTACAAGGAATTCTCTAGTTTGAGACGAGGCAATCGTAGTTGTCTGGCACATTTTTATTGTGCGAAGCTTGCTTGGTATAAATCTAACTTTTACATCTAATAGACGATTTCTACTTTAACATGCCCGACAACTATAAATAATTTTTGTTACAAAAATGTTCTTAAGGCGAGGTATTTCAACGCAAGCCTGTCATAGCGCTGCTGGTGCTGGTGGCGTTCTGCAGAGTGTAAAATGGCCCGGATAGCAGTAATATAGCTTGGTCCAAGGGTATTAATAGCCTCCGCAGCCCCCACAGCCTCCATACGTCTTACTTAGCAAGTTTTAGCAGTTGAAAAGACGAAAGTCCGGCTTATAGTAATTTATTCAGTACAACAACAATATTAATATCTTAAACTGTAAACGGTGTACAAGAGATTTAAGTAAGTGGTAAACGGTTCAAAAATGAGAAAGTAGATGTTTTCCCTACCGCGATCGCGCAGAGAGTGACGATGGAAAGAAACAAAATCAGAATGCGAGGTATAATGGAACAATTCAAAATTTTGAATTTAAATATGAGTAGAAGAAGAAAAAACGATACGATACGAATGGAGAGAGGCGATGCAAGGAGATGACACCGTCACAGGCCTAGACAATTTTAGGAAGTGAGGTGTGGAGAGTCGCCTCTCGCTTCCCGCAAATCGCACGCTGTAAATTATTAATATGAATAAAATAAGAACAGGCGGAGAAAATTCGGCATAGATCCGACGTCGACAAGCGCCCGATGGCGACTGACGGGGTAGGGAGTGGCGCGGCATGTCGTTAAACAGCTGAATAATTCGCAAATTTCGGAATAAATGTGATGTGATAGGGCTTCAGTTGAAAACCGAAATTTACAAGTACTCTGTAGTACTTAAAGAGAAATATCTCCATATTAAAATTATGTATGAAGTTAGATATTTTATTCTTAAATAATTCATTTTAGACTTTTATTATAGCTTCTTTTCAGGATTTTATACGATCGGATAAAGTATGTACATCCTATCGTGTAACAAATTAACACAATCTTTAGATGCTATCCTTTGGTATATCGTATGTTTTTGTAAGGCTGTCATGTTATACGAGTATATGTAGTAAATACCTAAACCATTTGATCTAGTTTTTCCCGCTTCTCCTCTGATGACTCATACTCATACAGCGAGAAACTTGTCTTCCCGTTCTACTATAAACGAGTTCCAAAATGTTTATAAGCACCCTATATAGCTAGAAAGACATAGATGTAGGTGTATACAGACATACATAATATATGGGAGACGTGATATGTGTCAAGTATTACTAGTTATTGAATAAATAATGTTGCGTCGTTCGATATGGCGTATTTCGCTCGGTTTTGCTTTGGGAAAAATATAACTTTAGTGTGTAGGTATGTTTACTAGATTGTATCGTAATCTACGTACCATTGTATTATCTCTTCTAAGAAGAGGTTAAATTCTAGGTACCGTGCAGTCTTCAAGCGTGTTCAAGATTCGCTGCAATTCTGGATTTTATACATTTATCGTGTTATACAATTCTTATTAGATTTTCTATTCTTATGATGGCATTTGTTTATTATGTTTTGTTTGTTTCAGGTAATTATTTCACCCTACAAACAATCGTATAATCATCAAGGAAAATAAGTAAGATATTAGTAGGAAGACACAATAACCGTATATATTTAACCGTATATAGTTAACCGTATTCTTCAATACTCACAGAAAGGTAGAGGAGGATTGTATGCGGGACAAAGGAAAACAAAAAGGAAACAAAATTGTTTGTGTGATATATATTTTATATTATATAAAAACATTTTCTAATCACCATATAAAACACCTTATATCTAGATTTGGTTAACTTTACAACCGGTTTGGCTAAACACTAACAATCATGCAAACTGATATCTTCACAAGCTTTCTTGAGGTATTCTAGATTATGAGCTAGGCAGCCTTATTTATGAATTTTTAGTCAATCAACACATGCTCGAAGCTAGGTACGTGAGGTCGTTCTTTGACCTGCCTTTTTTTTGTCGGCCTTACATTGGCCTCCAGTCAAGTTTTTCTATAAACATTATGGAAGATATGCTTTATCTCAGGGGATCGCACACTATAAATACAAACCAAACATAAGAAGCAAAACCCCAGACAATCGATTCAAGAAATATTCACTTCAATGCCATAATTCTTAAGTCACTATTGCATATAGTATGTTCCTGCGCAGTACAGTTTCAAATATCCATGCCATTCGTCTGTGTTATGCTTAATAAACTAAATCTCTTTTAGTTTTCAAGTGCACACTTTTATTTTAGAAATTCACTGATTGTCGTTTGTTTATTCGTGATATTTCCGATAGTCTATTGGTTCTACTTAGATGAAACGTGGTCTTTAGATCCAATCGTGACCAAAATGGACTGGTACATACACAGGTTTTTCTATAGGTATGGTCTTGACTACAGGATAGGGTACCGTTTTGACAATGGGTATAGGCTTCACAACTGGTACTTCTTTAAGGATTGGCACTGTATGGATGATTGGTATTTCTTTTATGACGGGGATTTTTTCCACATGATGATGGTGAACTGTATGTATTTCATGGGGTATGTGTACTTTTATGCTGCAAAAAAATAGAGACATTAAAATTATTGTCCATTCAAGTTCAATAATTAACTAAGGACTGGCGAAAGTTACAACAATAATGTGAAAGTTTAAATAAAAGTAATAATAGCTCTGCAATGTTAAAACACAAAAAAATATTGAAAAGTCAGTAGTTATTAAATACTTACTGGGTTTTATGGTGCCCGGGGTCCGCTTCTGGTAACGGAATAGCTATGCACATATGGCAGGTCACCACCACGGCCAAGCATAACTGTAACAAAAACAAATATTTTTATTATGATTTATAAGAGATTCCATCAGCACGCTTCATATTCGTTTTACCGGCGTGCTGAACAATATCACATTCACCTCATTTTCCTACCACAGTAATGACAACTTGAAATATTTTAGTAAAGAATGTTAAATATTTTTATTTTATAGTAGTTTTTATTGGAATGACTGTTTTAAATGATTTTACTGCGAGGTGCTTGTCCATTTTACTTGATTTTCAGCATTAGGTGAAATACATATAAAACAAGTGCTTAGTGCGGACGCACTATTTAACAGTGCGCAGTGCGTGCTGACAAATAGGGTCCAACCTTTAGTTCGTACAGAAAAGCGCCGCAATTCTTTGCAATACGTCGTGCATCTTGCCATGTTTCGGTTCGTAAAATAAAATGGTTGCCAAGACCATGGAACTATAATAATTGTTTCAGTTTAAGCGTATAGGAGTAGATAAAAAAAACTAATTACATTTTTATCATTAGAATAATACGTTAAACGGAAGAAAAATACATAACTGATATTTTTGATAATTTATGTTAAGATTTGTATATTTTTTAAGAAAAATAAGTATTACCATAATATTGATATACGGAATAGTCGTCTTCACAAATTCATTTAAGGGGCAATGCATACGTTTCTAAAGGTGTCTTTACCACTAACGTTAAACATTTTTTTTAATGGTCTATGATCATTTTATAAATAATATTTTACTGTTTAGTGTGAAAGTTTTATTAAGGCTTGAACAGTCGCGAATGACTTTGACAATTTGACCTCTAAGCATTAGTAACAATTTAATTCGCCATCTATCGACTATGCGCTTGTACTTACACAAAGTCAAATAAAGAAAAGTTGTAAACTAGAATACAGACAGTGTCATAGGTGTTTTTTTGCCATCTATACCTACATTGTTGTTCCCTCATTCGAGAATAAACCATCGTAAAAATAAACATTACATAATATTTTAGAGTCAAAATCGTAACGGCATAAATAGTAAAAGTATTAAGTGAATCATGCAATGATTCGACCGTTACCTCCTATCAATTAACAACTAATGCTACTATTTTCAACTATAAAAGAGAAGTCGAAAAGAGAAGTATGTAGTTAAAATTAAAACAAGTACTTTTATTATTTGTATTTTAAATGCATTTAACAAATGTCAATATTTACTAATAAATTATGCGTCATCGAAAGTATAACTATTTTGTATTATTCAATTTGTTTTATACAATACGTAAATAAACTCTTAGGCGAATAACAAAAAGAAATAAAAGTGATTACCACTATTACGCAAAATGCCAACAAGACAAGAGGTTAAATAAATGCACATTAAAATAGGTACTTTAATAACTAAATTGTTAACATTAAAAAGCGTCAAAATCTAAATAGCGAGAACAAGCAGGTTTAATTGAAGTTGGAGTACTATTTTCTGGTTGAAGCATGGGTTCGTCGTCACGAGGGCAAATATTTTTGATATGTTTTGGATCAGTGGTGGTTTTATTCTCTTTGTTTTCTATTTTCTTTGAAACAGAACTGCAGCAAGCGGCGGTGGGCGGAAAAAGGCACACTGCGTAGTGTGCAGTATTATAGTTTCATTTCTACTAAATAAAGTGGGTATTTCTTTGTGTCCCGCGGTGCAACGCGGCGCAGTCTGACGTCGCCAGCTTGTGCCGCCATGGGCACTACAAAGTGTAACTAGGCTTCTCAATAATAAGGTATATTTCTTTGAAACGTAAACATTGGCTGAGCGATATCGGACTGCTTAGGGCGAACTTTGGAAATAGCAATACAATATAGAACTTCAAATGTGTTAAATAAAGTGAATATTTCTTCTCACGGGATACGCTGTGTGTGTGGTCGTGTTTTAAGCGATTTGTAAAAATAATAAAAATAATGTATAAGTATATATAATAGTACAAATACGATGATCTTGGTGGCCCAACAGTTTGCACTGTCGGCACTGCATGAGAAGGTTCGGGTTCGATTTCCGGTAGAAACAATTTGGGAAATGAACTTTTCTAAAATGGTTTTGGCTTAGGTGTTGTGAGTAGTGCCGCGGAGTGTATTACGTAACTCTTGTACCAGAGAAACTGAATCCAAACATAGGCATTACTAGAAACCCAGACCAGACCCAAGTTCAGGAAGTTCATTTCAGTTCAAAAAATTTGTTCTACCGGGAATCAAACCAGAGACCAAGGGCAACGGAATTCACTCCGCGGCACTACCCAGAACACCTAGGCCTTCTCTTCCAGAACACCTAAACCTTCTCACCCAGTGCCATATTAATTGCATGTATAATGCAGTCAACAGCACATCAAGCTACACATTGACGTATCTTGTTCCGTTGCACTGGAAGCGATTATCGAACAAAAATGTGTAGTCTGATGTCCTGTTGTCCGTACAAATTCCACACTTCACCTTAGATTTATTTTTTTGGTATTGTGGTAAATCCGCTCAAAAACACACGCGCAGTCCATCTTTCGCAAAGCCTGAAAGGCGACTGAGATCTATTTTTTCGTGTTAATTTTATAAACAGCGGATGTTTGCATGTAAAGACAAATTGCTTTTTATTCAATTTGAAGGACGTAACTGTAAATTTTATTTTGTAAAAAGAGATTAATAAATTGTAGTTTTGTTCAATACATTCAATTATTTAAGGACTACCAGCAATCATATATTTTTTTTGTGATTATTGGACTATTATTATTATCAGGAATTTAATTAAAAAAGAACCTAATTCGTCAATCTGGCACTTGTTCCAGCCTTAATGATAAACGCCCAGAACTTTTGAATTGCACAGGGGGCCTACTATGAGCTCTTAGAGCAATCCTATTTAAATCTGTAATTTTGTCGTACGACAAATTGCGGAGTATGATTGAAAAGATTACAAAACAACGTAGTAAGTATAATCAACAATAAAATTAAACAAAAAATTAAATTATTTTCATTTTGACCACAATCGGTTAATAGTGCTTGAACGCTTCCAGGTACAATCCTGAAAGCTGTCTATTTCTTTCATGTGATTTAGTATGTAGTTCTATCTCGCTCTTCTTAGATGTCAGCTAGCCAGCCAGAGACTGAATAATTAGCGTTTAAGAAGCAATAATCATTATCCTATCATGCCATTCCCGTTCAACTTTGTGTAGGTCATGATATGAAATTAAGCAATTCAGTTTTATCACGTCAAGTGAACTGCATGGAACTTGGCTGGCTGCTTATAATCTCATAGTAGGCCCCCAGGTGTGATATTTCATCATACAATATCAGGCGAAATTACAGGCATATGGGACTTGTCAACTTATGTCTCAGGGTGACGGGCACAATGGCAGTGCTCCTCAGATCTTTGCGATTTAAAGCTCTGAGCGGCACTGCAACTGTTATGGACAGGCGTGTAGCTTACAATCAGGCGCACGACTTGTTGGTCCCGACACTTGATATTATAAAAAAAATATATAAATCACGATAATGCCAAACCACACACGTATTTTACAGAGCCGTCAAGTCACCACAGTTACTGAATATTGCAGTTTAGTTGGGATGTGTTACGTCATCTACTGTATTCGCCCGACTCAGATTTTCACTTGCTTCGGCCTTTACTTTTTTTTTATTTCTTTTTTATGGTACTAAGTGACAGGAGGAACAAGTTGTACGCCTGCTGTTAAGCGGCATGCCCGTCAGTAGCAGTTGCAGTGTCAATCAGGGTTTTAAATCGCAAAGATCTGAGGAACACTGCTACTGCGTTTGCCACCTTGAGACATAAGTTGACGTCTCATGTGCCTGTGATTTTTTCAGCACCCTTACCCTTCAAAACGACTTCTATATTTAGTAGTACTTAATTTGCATGAAAGGGGTATTCTAAAATCCTGAAAAATAGGAAAACCTTGTGGATCAACATGGTAAATACATAATTGAACAAAGTTTGATATATTTTTATTTATAAATGTTTTTTATTAATACTTTGCTAGCACACGCACAACTCAATGTATTATGATTCCTGTTGATATTCAAAAGTTGTTATTTGCAAAGTTTAAAACTGTAGTGAAACAAAAACTGTATACTAAATATTATTCAGCTTCTGCGTACTTGGATGACAAAAGTCCTTGGTGACCCATTTAGCTCTTTCAAGATGTTTTAATCTTTAACATTTGAAGTAAAAGTATTTACAATAGTACCTGAATACTTTACATTGTAAAATGAGCAAACCCTAGAGTTTCATATTCGTTTTTCTCGGGGGAATCTGCCTTAGTAATGAGTACTAGAGTTTAATCAAATGTAATTTACATATTTGTATATTAGAATTAAATATTTGTATATTATATTGCTAATTGTATATAGAACAAAGCTTACAAACACTTGACGACCTCAGTAGCCCAACGGTTTGCACTATGAACGCTGGACGAGGCCCCGGGATCGATTCCCGTTTGGATCAATTTGGAAAATGAACTTTTCTAAATTGTTCTGGGCTGGGTGTTCTGGGTAGTGCCCCGGAGTGAATTCCGTTGCTTTGGTACTCATAGTATAGGGAAATCCTTAGTTTGAGACTGGGCAACACATTACTATTATCGAGATATTACATACAGAGTGTTTTTTAATAGGTCCTCGCGGGGAAATCCGAAATCATAGAATATATAAGGAAACTATTTTAGGAACCATTAAGTCTTTTTTTGTGAAAATATTTTTGACATATTAAATTTTTTGGTCAAGCGTGAATTTTCCATAATTAATCAAATTTTTAGTGCTAATCGCCTCAGTTTCATGAAGGGATCATTTCATTATGTGGAACGAAAATAATCGGGATAGAAGAAGTTGGACAAATTTCATAAAATATTTTTTCTATCAATTATAATTTCATAAACCATAATATCATAAAGGCGCTCTTTCTTTGTTTGATTAGTAAGCATTATTTCATTATTTAGGTGTGCATACTCCATCGTGGACCTCATTATCACGTTCCATCAGGTGTGCTGGAGGTCCATTACGCACACATTAAAAAAAAGTTTTAAAATGTTCAAACCACTGACCACATGTTCAAACGATAAATATTGTATAGTAGTCACGGGAGTCAACATAACTCATCGAATTACAAATCCCTGACAACGTCTATAGATACATAAATATAATATGCGACTACTGCAATTCAAAATAGCTTATTGTTTCTCTAGTCTCTTCCAATTATAATACATCTGGAATAAATAACTATAGAAATGTTACAAGGAATTCTCAACAAAACAGGTTGAGCTATTAGGATTGTTCATAAAATAAATTTAATTCCTGTATGAAAGTTGAAAACATTGCAGCTCGCATTTTAAACTGTTTATTTACATACTCAAAAATTTCCTCAATTTTCGAATAACGAATGAGGTCGTCCGTAAATTTCCTCATTAGGATAAATTTTTCATTCGTTTTCCCCAAAAATACCCCCAGTAACATTCATTCCCTGTAACATCCAGGTAAATAAAGATCTTTTTGTTGTTAACCCAAAGGTAAAACATGTTACGGTAGCAACAGTTTCATCAAGAGGACTTTTTCCCATACAATGCAAAGTGTAGTGAAGTTGACGTATTTGATTTTTCTTTGCAGTAGTTTTAATAGTCACACCAGCAAATCAGATTTTAAAATGGTTTCGTATGCTCATTATGAATTGTTCAATCCTTCTTTGTTTTGTTTAAGTTATATATTTTTTTTATTACTTACCAGTAGTAGTTATAGTATTATAGTGCAGTAAGAAAAAATACGTACTTTTAATTGAGCATTGCTCGTCTTTGCGTATACCTTTTACTTGTTCACTTATAAGTACAGGGAACTAAAGGTTTAGTAATAAGTAATTTTTTTTTTATAATTTGTATAAGACTGTTTGCTTTTCGTTAAAAAAATACGGGGTCAACATCATCCAGTTTTGTGTCGACAAATACTATTCGGATAATTAATATCTCAAAATTATCTAAATCTAAGCAGTTTTATATCACTTTTCTTAATGCGTTGTCTGCTTGACTTTCCTGAAACTCGGACCTTTACGAAACGAGACTGAATAATAGAAGCATGCTCCCTCTTCAGTTACATTGTCGCTTGCTATCATAATTTTAACCAAAAACACACTGAAAACAAATTTAATACGCTAGGCTGTCGAATAAACATTCAAAATTATATTCACAATATACTAGCCGCTTTACTGTTGGATGTCCCAAAAATGTAAGTTGAAAAACTCTATTATTTGTCACCTGGATTTTTGTTACTCACTTTTGTTTACCACATGTCACGTAAAGATTCCCTACTCGTGATTTAGAACACTTTCCAAACAATTTTTTTTTTTAAATAAAAAATAAACTGGAAAATTACTCACGGCAGCTTTGCAGAACATGTTTGTGTCTAACGCTCGCGGGTCACAAGACTACGGCCCGGTGCGCCGGCGCGTCTTGATATTCGCTAGGGTTGTGTAACACGTCACGCCGTATGGCTGTCTTGCGCCGACGCATTTAGGACGTAGGAAACTCGTATGTTGGCAGAATGGGTGAAGCAGTTAATCCTGTTTTTGTCCTCGTGTGAAAAAAAAAATTTGAAGTATCAAGGGTGTGTCCTAGTACGCTCTAAATGCTACGCATGCTCCCACTTGCAATGTACTATAAAAAACACAAACACTGTGTTGCAAATCGATGCAGGGTGACCGATGAGCTAACCGGTGTTCGACACCTTTTTTAAATTAATTTGTTATTTCAAAATTAATATAATTAATAATAATTTATAATAATAATTATTATTAATTAATAATTAATAAATCTTATTAGATTTACGACAAAATTTTCTATCATAGTAACACGTTTCTTATTGTAAGTGTCAATTACTGGGTGTTCATTATTGATGAGTGTCGATTAATCAGTGGATTTTTGGATTCATGACTGGATTTAGGGAAATTATAGTTTAGGTTTTTTTTTAGTAATAATTATAATCGATTTCTTATGAAACATACTACATCATATTCTTTCTTGAGGATTATATCTGTCAAGTACACTAATCACTATTGATTTATGCTTAAAAACAAGAAAGTTATTTCAAATTCTGTCTTTTCACTTCCCTATAAATGTCGATCATTGGTGCCATCACTCTACTTATACGTGTAATTGATTTTAACAAAATTTTGTTTTGACGATGGCAATATCGTCGATATTATCAAAGTTTCTTTTCATACCTACGAACTGTTTTAAAAAAGGCTCAAAATGAAGGACAGAGTTTACAGAGCCGTATAAACCAAAGGAATTAGAAGTATTCGCTAAAAGATTATCTTAGAGTTCGGTTTATTATACCCACTTACATCGATGTAATAATTTAGGATTGTAGATATACCTTAAGTAGGTAATAAAGCATAGTTGGTAAAGAAAAAAAAAGAAAAACGATATTCAAATATAGAATCCATTGGAGAATCGGCAATATCTAGATAAAATATTACTACAACATGAATATAAATAAAGTGATAAAAAACATGATGAGTATGTACACTAATACTTGTCAGTAAAAAGGCTTAATCGAAAATACAGTACGACCCCGGCTCTGCCCCCGCGGGGCTGGGGTATCTGTAAGCAGATTCCCTCGGATTAACAAAAAAAAAACAATAATTATTATTATTTATTCCCTGAATCTAGCCCATTTGATCCTTTCCACGTGCCTTCCATTTATTATTATTAGAATTTCTTTATTTCATGGGAATATTGTATTATAATCAAAACTAAGGCTGATTACAGACGGCGCCGTAACGACAGCGACACCGGAGCAGCGCGGCGGCTGTGGCGGTGAACGCTGCCGCAATTGTCTACACTAATATACGATTTCAGTTGATCACGCCGCATGATCCCGTTTGCTTGCGCGGCGCCATGTGTAAGCCTTAGTCTTATTCAGTGGGTTAGGCCCTTTCACTGTACTATAACATGTGATCAAAACTTCTCGAAACAGCATGCTTGTCGTTAAAGGAAAAACAACTTGCTTCATTCACAGAAAAAGGAATTTTCGCAATCAGGGACCTATTGACGCTGTTGATGTTTGACTTCTTTGTGAAAATAATCATTGAAAAGAAACAATACGAGGTTAATAATCAGATAAAAGTAGGTTGAATGTGAATTATTGTCAACAGACTTCTGCTTCAAGCTTCTTGATGACAGATAGTGATTGTGACAGACAGATGATCCCACTGCACCTGATGTTAAATGGAAAGTCCTCCACCTTGCAGTTCTATAACATGCCTCTTCACGCTACGATCGAAGGACCCCACGTCGTCTGACGGAGGTAACACATGCGCGGAAAGGGGTTCCATTTATCGACTGTGCGACCGAGGAAGTCGCAATCACACCTTTTAGTTCGTGATGGAACACGCCAAGTTGTAAAGCGGTGACTACAAATGCCAGTACGCGTGTTTCGCAGCAGGAAAGGGGAGGGCGGGATTACTCTAGACGAAAAAAAAAAATTTAACTACGATAGTTATGTCGTGGAGAGCTGTGGGGTAGGTGAGCTCGCAAGTAAAAGGAAAGAGACCGTGCTTACACCACACTTCAGATACAAGATTTCCAGCTCGACGTTCACACTGTTTCATATTTCACTTTCTCCGCAGCCTTTGTTTAGTGTGTACCCAGTATGTGTGGGGGCCCAATCCTAAATTGTCATCCACAAAATCTCGGAAACTTACCTAATAGGTGAAACAGAAAACTAATTACGTCATAAAGTTATCTTCATTCAATTCACACATCGCACTTCTCGTCTGCATTTCAACGATCGCCTGTTACCCTATTTGTTTAATTTAACGCAAATGTTACGCGAAGTTAGGTTTTTGCGCCATTAAACATCAGTAACCTGCATGCGTCTCAGTGCGTAATCTATGTTGCTATTTTTTATTCACAAATTCTCACTAGTTTACCTATCAATTGATGCATCGACATATTTTAAACAGATGAAACGCTTTTCTAAATGGTGGCCCGAACTAAAAGGCTTACAATAAGAAGACAACTTTCCACTGGACAAAATAATCACCACCAAAAAAAATATGGTCTTTATGGTCAATAATGTAACGTACAAACTAGATATGAACCACAATCACGTCGCGCTTCTTCCACGGAATTCTCGCGCATGCTTGAGGATCCTCGCGCATTTGCGAGCATTCCGCAGCTGCCGTCGGCGACGCCTGGCGAATGTGCGGGAAGTGGCGCTAAGGCAGGCGCAGTGTGATGTCGAACATCAACGAAATAGTACAGCCTCAAGGCGCAGTCGCGATAAAGCTCGCGAATGCTCGAGCATTCCAAAGAACCGCGCGTCTTCTCGCGCAGCGAGGCGAAATTGACGCTTCCGTTCCATTCCGTTTCGCCGCAATGTAAATTGAACTTAGACGCGCTTCCCGATATTCCCGATATTGGCGAGGTGCAATCAGTCCCGGTTCCGCGATTATAGATTCCCAGTACTGCCCGTTCCAGCAAGGAACCACCTACCTACTGAACTATGAGTAATATTTACCATTAAAGTGTGAAAAATTGTTTTGTTTACTAGTTTTTTCATGTAACTAATGTGTTGCGTATATTTGTTTTTTCAAACAAACCAACTTTTCGGGCCCTTTATAGGTCCCATGGTCACGGTTGACCGTCAGTCAGTCGGACGTTGGTTTGTTTGAAAAAACAAATTTACGCAATTTGAATCCGGAATAATAGTTTCATTTCCTATGTGTAACAATCGCGAAAACCTATAGTTAATTTGTGATGTGTACTCGTTTTGAACACTAGTAATAATTGGTAATGCCATTATAATGCTACTTAAACTTATTACTTACTGCAATGTGATTTTACGACATTATCATTTTGATTAATAATGTAAATGTAAATTAATAGTAATTATCCCTCAAATAGATATTTTGTATAAAAACGATTCGTTCGATTGGAAAATGAAGTTTTCTTTATTAATTATAATGTTATTATCACATAAATTATTGAATAGGTACGGACAACCCAAAAAAAACTGGTTACAGCTTAATTTTAAGCTTTTTAAGAAATATCGGGAGTACCGGGAGTACCGGTATTGAGCTGAGCTCAGCACCGGGAATCAAAATTTTGCAATCCCTAAGCGCACCAGACACGCCACAATTTTTTAAATGACTTTTTGATTGATGTACTGAATAAACTTGTGAAATCCTTTTTCGAAGTCTTTCATCGTAAATTAGCTTGGCATAAAGCTTCACTGCTTTGTAGTAATTTCGGATAACACGTGTTCGTTTTTGACTTATGGAACTTGGCCCTTCTTTGGGGTAGTAATTTCTGTAACACAGTAAACTGTTGTTAACTAGACTGTACCGTTTTCCTTTGAATATTTCCAGTTTTAGGAAATCACTTAATATATTGATTGTTACCGTTTAAATTATAGTCTTAGGTTTACTAAGTATTCAGTTGGTATCAGAATTGTAAATTTGTTAAGGATGTAAGTGTTTGAAAACCTTTCAACAATTCCTAAAAAAATCACCCCAAATCCTTATGTTTAAGGTATACTTTTAATTGCTTTCCGAGGAATTTCAGTTGCAATACTGGATGGAAATGGTGAAAACTTCAATTAATCATTTAAATCAATAATACACACAGCAGTCAGCCACCTTACCTATTTCTGCCGCCAAGCAGTAATACTCACAGTACTGCGTTCCGGTTTTAAAGGATAAGGGCGCTAGTGAAATTACAGGCACGTGGGACATCAACTTATGTCTGAAGGTGACAGGCGCAGTGGCAGTACCCCTCAGGTCTTTGCGATTTAAAGTTCTGAGCGGCACTGGAACTGCTATGGACAGGCGTGTCGCTTACCATCAGATGCACGACTAGTCGCGTCACTATCAGCATCATAAAAAAATTTTTGCTATGAATTTTTGGTTACTTAGTGTTTCTTAAAATGAATTTTTTTCTCTGTTTTCAATTTTTATCTCCAGTTTTTAATGAATTACGTAATTATTTAATTATTTAATTACATACACTGTACGTTCAATTTTGCATTTCTGAAACGCGAGTAACGTTCCTTAAATGCTTTTAACGTGTCAAGATTGGAAATGAAACTATATTTATGGATTAAAATCACGTACCTGTATTTGTTTTTTGAAACAAACGATGAAGTTTTAACAAGCAATATACAAAATTAACCATGTTTTCCCTAAATTCTACTACCTCAGTAATAACTAGTTTTCTTTTACGTTTCATAGTTCGATAGCGATCTATTAGAGAACATAATTGAATACATCATCAAGATCTATTAGTACGTAATGGTGTGCGAAGTGTTAGTTACATTGTAAAATACGCTATTAAATATAAATAAGATTTATAGTTTTGGTTTACACGCTGTTAATTTCACATTTTTAAAAACTTTAATCGGACATCCAAGATACGAGATATTAATACTTGAATCTTACGCTGATATTTTTA